GAAAGATTACTGATTCAGACTGTTCAAATAATAAAATCTACTTAATTACTTTTCAGGAGATTAACGTTGCCATTGTGGAAGCAGTGAGAATATGTGGATTTTTAGATAATTTGGATTTGACCTTTTCGTTTTTTGGAAAACGAGGAAGACTCAGAGGAGTCAACACTAAGCATCTGACCCTTCATCTTTTATTTTGGTGGTTTTGTTTTTTTCTCTTTTCTAATAGGCTGTGACTTGAGTGCTTTTGACCAGTTGGTATGCTGCTAGTAACAATGAACAACTTTTTTTTTCCTCCCCCCCAAGTAATGTGGTTGTTTTGGAGAAGACTGTTTGGCCTTAGAGCAGTTTATTTTGAAGAAATGCTGTCCTAGAGGTCATGTACCTACATATTCTCTACCTCACCTTTATGAGAAAAATGTAAATGAATGAAGAAGGAAGCTGCCATCAGAAGTGATTTTGGAGGAAGCGAGTTCTGGGACAATATCTGGACCCAAGTCCTATGTTATTTTTAGCACCATGACTGATAATAATTAGACTCTTCAAGACAGAGGTTAAATTGTTGGTTATATTATGGCTTACCACACAGGGAAAGGCCACATTACACAAAAGATGGCCTAAAATAGTATCTCATTAGTGCTTAAAAGGTTTAACTTTTCTCTAACTTTAGTCTTGTAAAACAGGTGCTTTTCTCAGTTACGCTGGGTGAATTAATCATACAGTTATATGTAAATAGATAATAAAAATGGAGTGTGGGGAGTTGCAGATTAATCAGCTTTCAGGGATGTTTTCTTGGCAGGACTTTTTAAACATAGGTTGCATTCTGAACAGAGACTGAAGTTAACTGTTGTCTTCATAATGTTCAACAGTTGTCAGGTTAGAGAAGAATACAGTTGTATCAGTTTCCAGATACGGTATACCTTAAGTAATTTTAAATGAGGAAGATTGAGGAAAGTAGAGAGTTAGCTCAGAAATAATTTACAAGGAAGTACTTTTTGAGTACTTAAAATAGCTTTAAATAAACTTTGTGGAATAGTTTTTTATAATCCAGTTAGATTACAAAAAAGAATGTTCCTTTTTTGTGGTTTTTTAAAGAAAAGTAATCTGTGCACCCAACATGGGACTCGAACTCAAAACCCCAAGATCACGAGTCGCACATTCTTCTAACTGAGCCAGCCAAGTGCCCTAAGAATGTTACTTTTAAAATTCTTAAAGGTGTTTTAGTGGGTTGAGCATGAATTTTAGAGCCAGATAGACTTAGCTTCAAATTATGGCTCTGGTATGCATGAGATATGTGGCTTTTTTTTTTTTCTTTCTTTCTTTTTAAAGATTTTATTTGACAGAGATCACAAGTAGGCAGAGAGGCAGGCAGGCAGAGAGAGAGGGAAGCAGGCTCCCTGCTGAGCAGAGAGCTCGATGTGGGGCTTGATCCCAGGACCTTGAGATCATGACCTGAGCCAAAGGCAGAGCCTTAACCCTCAGAGCCAGGCGCCCAAGATATGTGGCTTTAAGCAAGACTTGCCGTGTGTAAAGATGAAAGAGCCAGTTCACTTCCTAGCATGAAGTTAGCTATTACCAGATTTTAAAAACAGCTATATTGCTTAGATAAAAATGTCTTAATTTCTATTTTGATGATACAAGCTCTTCATCAAATTAATACAGTTAAAATTCTGGAGAAACTTTATTCAGGTGTGGTACAGCAATTTCCATTCTTTTTTTTTTTTTTAAGATTTTTATTTATTTATTTGACAGACAGAGATCACAAGTAGGCAGAGAGAGAGAGGAGGAAGCAGGCTCCCTGCTGAGCAGAGAGCCCGATGTGGGGCTCGATCCCAGGACCCCAGGATCATGACCTGAGGCTTAAGCCACTGAGCCACCCAGGCGCCCCTCCATTCTTTTTGATAAATACAGGCCATACTTGCTTTCTCTTGTGTATAACAAATTACCACACATTTAATACCTTAAAACATGAATCTATTATGTCACAGTTTACATGGGGTTAAGCTGCAGGGCCCTATGTTAGGGATTTTACCTGTCTGATGCTGCAGTGTCGTGAGAGGTTTGATGTCCTCTTCCAAGCTCACTGGTTGTTGGTTCAATATGGTTCTTGTAATTTTAAGACTGAATTCCCCCCATTTTCTAGCTAGCTGTCAGCTGGTGACTTTCTCAGTTCCTAGAGAGTGTCCTCATGTCTCTGCCACATGGCCCTGTTCGTATGCCTTCTGACACCATAGTAGTGACCTGCAAGGCCAACAGAAGAATCTCTTCAGGAAGGGTCAGTATGTCTTTTAAGAGTTTTCTCTAAGTCAGGCTTACCCTGATTAACTTGAAAATCAACTGACTAGGGATTTTAATTACACTTAAATCCCTCCACTTCAGTGAATGGGTTCATAGAATCGGTTATATAATTTAACCTTACCATGAAAATGAAGTCCACTCCCTCTATAGTCCTGCCTACACACCATGGAGGGAGGGATTATACAGGAGATGTGTACCAGAGGTGGGAATCTTGGAAGCCTTCTTAGAATTCTGCCTTACATGGACACACAAAATTACTATATTTGATTTTACCCAGTGGGCGCACCTGGTTTCAAGTCCATCTATCATTTTGTCCTGGTTCTTTATTAACTACAGCATTCGAATATGGCTTTTTTCTATTGTATTTTTTGTCCTCCCTTTTTATAGTCAAATGGAGCTTTTGACCGAAATAAATTGTTGTGGGTAGGAGAGGAATATGCTTGAAAATACTAATTTATGAGCACAAGGGCCAGGGTTTGCCAGAGTTTTGTTTTTGTTTTCTTTCATATATATGATTGAAATCTTAAGTTTTCAAAGGAATAAAGAATTAAGGAGAGGAAACCTGACTCCCTGATCTCTGTTTGCCAAGCTAGCCACTATACTAGCAGTTACAGAGTGTGCTGCTCAGGCAGACTGCTTCAGGTATGATTGTTGAAGACAGGTGAGCTTTCTAAAACACTTTCAAAGGTACCTTGCAAATTACAAGCTTAAGATTACAAAAAGAATATGAAACATATAAAGGAACAGACTGTTTTAAGAGAAGAGAATTGCTTTAAAGTGGTAAAAGAACTCCTTAGATTGAGTGAGGAGTCAGGAATGTGAAATACACTTCTTCCTATGAAATCTTTCTGCATGTCTTCAGATAAACTCAAAGGTCCTACCTCTGTTCTAATTTTTGCCTGTATCCGGGCATTTAAAACATCATCCTATTTTGCTGCTTTGCTACCCCCTCCCCTTAAGTAGAATAAGCTCCTTGAGGGCAGGATCCATATTTTGTGTTCTTTCCTAATGACTCTTGACTTGGAGGAGGCAGTCGGTAAATATTCCTTGATTCTGCACTTCATACTTCATCGTGGTAAAGAATATTAGCACTTTCATACTTGTAGTGCAGAGATAAGCTTTAGCTCATGTTGAAGATGCTTTATGTAGCAGTAGTAATGAATTCTAAAGTTAACGGCTCTCAGGTGATTTGTTTTTACTCCTAGGAAGGTGTTTGAAAATAATAGTCTTACCTCTTAATGAATATAGCTTAATATATTAACCAGCAGGCCTGGTTATCTATTTACCAGGCTCATGGCAAACCAGAAACAATTTATAAAGGGGCTAAGGAAGGTTATTAGAGAAGTATTATTAATATAATTAGCATGCCACTTCATGATCTGTCTCTGCCTTCCTCTCTGGTTACTTCTGTACTGGATAGCCAAACTGAACATTTTGCAGTTTCTTGACTACACTACTGTCTTTTGCCAGTTACCTCTCTGTAGCATCCAGTGCCTAGCATTATCATAGAAATTGAATATTGTAGAAATTGTATATTGTACAGTGATTTGCTTTTGTTTCTTTTCATAGCATACACTTCTTGAAGGTGGGAAACCATGCCTATCTTCTTAATTCAGTGCTTGTCACAGAATAGACATTTATATGTAAGGGAATGAATGAGACAGTGAAACTGAAAACCAAACACATGGTTTAAAGCACATGGTCTTCAATGTAGCGGTAAGCAAGTTCACAAACCTTAATTCCCAAGGGTAGTTCAGTCCACAGCACAGTGGTACAGGTGATGCTCCTGATGTCCATGATTAAAAATGCTGCAGATTTAAGTTTATATTACACACAAGTTTAAGGGAATTGACCTGTAGTCAAGTCAAGCATATAAAACATGCAGTCATTTGCTTTGGGTCTTATGATCTTATTCTTTATTCTTAAGGTCACTAGGTTTGTGTTGAATAGAGCTGAGATGTCCACAAACTCTTCTTTTTTATACGTATGGTCCTTTTAGAAGGTTTGCTACAAATGTTCTGAAATCTCTTGTCTTCTTTGCAAGATCATACAGAAGGTTAATTAAAAAACAGAATGAAAAATTATTAATCTTAGTGAAAATGGACAGTAATCTTTCTGTACTTAATACATGATTTTACCTCAGGTTTTCTTTTCTTTTCTTTTTTTTTTTTTTAAAGATTTTATTTATTCATTTGACAGAGACCACAACTAGGCAGAGAGGCAGGCATTTAGAGAGGAAGGGAACCAGGCTCCCCGCTGAGCAGGGAGCCCGATTTGGGGCTCGATCCCAGGACCCTGGGATCATGACCTGAGCCGAAGGCAGAGGCTTTAACCCACTGAGCCACCCAGGTGCCCCTACCTCAGGTTTTCTTAACATGAAGTCTCATCTGTCCTTTAGAACTTTAGAATTAATACCAACAGAAAAGATATTAATAGATATTATTATGGGAAACATAGGAAGGACTTTGCATTTTTGAGCAGTGCTGTTTTGTCTTTTAAAAAAGTTTCTGTAAGAGAGATCTGTTGCCAGAGGCAACCTTTGCCATCCTTATATTTGTTTTCATGTTTAAGATTAATTTTTAATTTCTTTCCAGTCTCTGCTAACACAAATACCTAGAAAATCCAGATTGTCCTTCATAGACATGATTCTCCACATTGGTGCAGCTAGCCATGAACTATCCTTTTCTTCTCCCTCTTTTTCCCAGATATCTCCCGGGGCCAATTCAGCACCTCTACCTGGCCATCCTAACAAGGTGATTTGTGAAAGGGTGAGACTTCAGAGCCTGTTCCCTCTCCTCCCAAGTGATCAGAATACTACCGTTCAAGAGGATGCTCACTTCAAAGCTTTCTTCCAGGTTCTTATATATTTACCCTTTCCATACGTAGGGCTGAAAGTCACAGATACATTTTAGGTTGTCTCTAGGAAGGCTTAAAACAGATTTCTCAATATCTTCTTTTCTGTTGTATATGGGAATAAGTATTCTTCTTAGAGGACTTCTTCAACATAACTTTTCAGCCAGCTTTTCTGAAGAATGTTTGTCTTCTCTTGAGCTGCTGTTTATTATTTGACAACTTAATACTCTTGTTTTTTGATCTTTGGTCTTAATCACTTGTCTTAATAGCCCAAGTTCCATAGGAAAGTAGAAGATATTACACATACATGAAGTTGTGTGGGAATGGAAAAATGGAAGCATGCAAGATATTTTTTAAAGCCATCACTGTTTACTTGCTTAGTGCCCAGAGTTTGATAGTGATGTATATTTCAAAAAGAGAACATGGTAGCTTGTCTTCTATCACTTTTGATACCTGTAGGTAAAATGTGATTAAAATTTTTGTTACTATATATGAAATGAAAATAAATTAAGGCAGGGACTATCATTAGTTTATTCACAAGATTGCTAGGATGTGCTCACATAAATTACTGGCAACTCAATTTCCAGCCCATTGTTCCTAGAGAAGCATGTTTTAGTAATGGAAGTCAGTATTAGTATTACCAAAAGGAAAGTAGTTAAACAGTTGCTTCTGGATATTAGGGTTGTGGACCAAGGCATAGATTTGTATATGTGTATACAAATCTGAAGTAGTGAGAGCCCCTAACCAAAGCTTGGACTTTTTGATAGAACCGGCTCATTTTCTGTTTATGTGGGAGTGGTAGGTTGGGGCTTAGGACTAGTTCTGAAAGAAATGCTTGTTTGTGATACGTTAAATTGGAGATGTGAAATTTCTGAGAATAGCTTTGTAGGTGATCCACGGTTCTTGAATGTGATATTCCTTGTTGCAATTTGTGCCAGGTCTTCCCCTTTGCATGTATTGTCTTCTTTGTTTTTAATCCTCCTAATAACCCAGTCATAGATTGTTTTCTAGATGAAGAAATGGGCTCAGAAAAGCTCTCTGAGATGCCCAGTTACAGAGCTAGTTAGTGGCAGAGACTCAAATTCACCTTTTGCTATTTCTTGTCTACTATAACATACCACCTTTAGATAATAGATATTTCTGTAAACAGTATATGTTAAGAGATGTAGTTATCTGTATTGAATTAAATGGAATATTGACTACCATTTTTGGTACAGGATTGGTCTGTAATAGCTTGATATTTAGTATTAAACCAGTGAAGCTAAGGAAGATAATTGACTTACTGCTTTCACTGCTGCCACCAGTAAACAGTTATTTGATGTTTTCTTTGTTTTCCATACTTCTTTGAGTCTGAGACATTAACTCAATATTAACTTTAAACTCAAGGAGTTGTTGGCATATGCAATAGATTTAAACATATGTTTTGAAAACAAAAAGAGCCAGTTTCATTTGAGTGTTGCAGAAAGGTGAAAGGTATTATTGTCAAATTTTTATTTATAGCCCTAGTTAAACTTAAATCTTAACTTTTTTCTAACTTTAAAACAAGGCCCTCAGTGTACTTGGCTCCCAGGGAAGACTGGAGATTTTTCTCTGCCCACTTCCTCACCTACCATACTGTTGCACATGAAGCAAAGTAAATCCTTCTCACATCCCCTTTGAGATACTGTCACATACCTTCAGCTAATTCTGATAGTACAATCAGGTATGATTTCTTGTTCTACTTCTCTCATTCTTAGAAAACTTAGTTGCCACATGAAAGGGAGAAATGTATACATTTCTTATCCTGGGAGTTATTCTTTTTATGTGTTAGGTTTTCATTTCTTGGCTCTCCCCCAAGTTCTTTCCCTCCCAGCCTTTTCTGCTTTTCCTTCCCCTCGGAAAACTTCATTTTAAACAGATTCATCTACCTCTTGCATTTTTTTTTCCCTTAAAGCATCCTCTTTATTCCCTTATTTTAGCTGAAACCAGTCTCTCCTCAGAGGTATTATTTTCCCTGCAATCTTGTATAGGAGTGAAAAAAAAAAAAATTTGATCCCTTCCCCCCAAGCATGGGAATTAAGTATGCATCCAGTAAGTGGGATGGTCATTGAGGAGAAGGAAGGTGTTTGATACTCTCCTGGATCCCTGTTTCCAACCAACAGTCATCTTTGAACAAAAATCTCATCTGTTTTTGAGCTATATTTGTTATAGCTCAAATATAGTTATTTTTGTTCTTGTTTATTAAAGATCTTTGTACTTTGCTTGTTTTATATTACTTTTAAATTTTATATTACTCAAAATCTTTCGAAATTTGCATGCTTTTTTAATTTTCAAAATTACAAAATATTTCATATATGAAAGTTAAAGTATAAAGCAGACACATGTATAATTTATAGATTGATTGATTTATTTGACAGAGAGAGAGAGAGATTTCAAATAGGCAGAGAGGCAGGCAGAGAGAGAGGAGGAAGCAGGCTCCATGCCAAGCAGAGAGCCCGATGCGGGACTCTATCCCAGGACCCTGAGATCATGATTTGAGCCAAAGGCAGAGGCTTAACCCACTGAGCCACCCAGGTGCCCAACAGACACATGTATAATTTAAAAAACACCATCTATCCTAAGTCAACCATTACCAATACTTTAGAAGTATTCAGATGACCTTCCGTATTACGTCTTCTTGCTGTCCCTACCTGTGCCTTGGGTAAAACTGAATTTTGGGGGCGCCTTAATATAAATAGTATCATACATTGTATTTTTGTCATTTTGAGATTCAGCATTGTTGGTGCATGCTGCCATGTAGTTGACTCATTTTCCTTTCAGTATTTCATTTAATATGGATATGCTGACGTTAATGTTATCAAGATTTGCATGCTCTTTGTGATTGACATATCTAGTAGTTCACAGTTTTTTACTATTATTACAAGCATTGTTGCCATGAATATTCTTATATGTGTTTCTTGGTTGATACCATTTGATTTTTTTTTTTTTTTTTAAAGATTTCATTTGAGAGCGAGGGAACACCAATGCGGGGCAGGGGCCGAAGAGGGGGAGGGAGAAGCAGACTCCCCACTGAACAAGGAGCCCAGTGAGGGGGCTCGATCCCAGATCCTGGGATCATGACCAGAGCCAAGGCAGATGCTCAACTGACTGAGCCACCCAGGTGCCCCTCAGTTGATACTTTAATTTCTGTAAAAGTGATGGCTTTGTATATTTATTATTCTGGATTTTCGCACAGAAGAGGTATAGATATAAGCACATTTGCATCTCTATTAAAATAAGTCTATATTTAACATTAGAATCAAAATACCTCCTATAATTGTTCTAGAAATTTAAAGTATAATTAACATTTAGTAAAATTCACCCTCGTAGAGTACAGGTTAGTGACTTTTGACAAACGCATACAGATGTGGAACTACTGCCACAATCAAGATATTAGAACAAATTTGTCTCCCAGAAAAATTCCCTCTTGTTTCTGCTATCTATCCCTTATAGTTTTGAAATTAGTATCTAATGTGCTATCTACCAATTCATTGATTGTGATCGAAGATAGGGTGCTTTCATAAAACAGGTACATTGTGGAGAATTTTGATTTCATGTCAAGCACAACTCTTGATTTCGGGGTGTGTGTGTATGTGTGTGTGTCCTAATGATAGCTGTGTGATACTTCATTTTGTAAATTTATGAAAGTTAAGTAGGCGATTGGAATTTTCATAATTTATACACAGAAATAGGTTTCTGAAAGAGAAGACTGTTGTAAAAAAAATTGCTCCAGCAAAGTTAGAGACTTAATAAAAATTTCAGCCAAAATAGCAGAATTTTATGATTTTAGAAACCATACAGAGTTATCCTAAATTCATAAGACAGATTTTCAAAGAAAAGACGGGGAAAACTTTATTGAAAATTGTTGTAAGGGACAATATGCCATAATAGATACTAAATCTTACTATAAAGAAATAGCTCCATGTCAGTGGGCTGTTTGTTTTTAAACATGGTGGATGTTTTTCAGTCCCCGTCTTATGGGACCTCTCAGTTGAGTCCTTGTGAAACTCCATTCTACTAGCTTTTCTCATGACGTTCCACTTTCCTCTCATTAGCTGCTCAGCGTAAAGTATTAAGAGTTGAATATTGGGCTTCCCTTTCTCTGTATAAATTATTTGGAGAAATTCTGTCCATGCCTGTAACTTCATTAACCTACCATCTATCTGTATACCAAAAACTAAAATTTCTGGTCTCTGAGCTTCAGCTGTCTGCACAACAGCTCCATCTCAGAGGTATCTCAGGGTATCTCAGAGGGATCTCTTGATTTCAGGTTCTTAATATCTTCTCCGTTTTCATGTTTATGCTTCAGGTTTTTGTTTGCTTGTTTGTTTTTAAGATTTTATTTATTTACTAGAGAGATGGAGATCACAAGCAGGCAGAGAGAGGAGGAAGCAGGCTCCCTGCTGAGCAGAGAGCCCGATTCGGGGCTCGATCCCGGGACCCTGGGATCATGACCAGAGCCTAAGGCAGAGGCTTTAATCCACTGAGCCACCCAGGCACCCCTGCTTCAGGTTTTTTATTTTAACCATTGATTTGTCTTTACAGCTTAAAATTATTATAGTTACAGATTTATGATGCATAAAATCTAGTGCTTTCATGAAATTAATATACCATTTAGAAACAAATTACAACATCAAGGTAAATAAGTTTTTGTGAACCAGTAGTATTTTGTGTAATTAAAAATTAAGAAAGGGATGCCTGGATCCTTCAGTCAGTTAAGTATCCCAACTCTTGATCTCAGTTCAGGTCTTGATCTCAGGGTTGTGAGTTCAGGGCCCGCACTGGGCTCCACACTGGGCATGGAGTCTCCTTAATTAATAGGATATTCATATGTCATTTAAACTTTAGCCATGTAGGCCTCCCTAAACTCCCTTAGGGAGGCCTAGAAGATGGAATGCCAGTTATGGCCAATGATAGTAACATTGTATTTTCACACAATGTTAGATTCTGTTCATGATGAGACTGCAATGCTATACCACTAGAG